GATACACTGCCTGTTTTTTATTTTATTTATTTTATATATAATGATGGATTATATGATAAGATAGTTATATTATTTTCTCAAATCTCACCATGCTAATCTCATAATTTGAATTTTAAATTTTTAACATAAAGCCTCAAGCTCTTAATTGTTATAATGAAATTAAACTCAACCGACACCATTTTTTAGTGTAAATACATCATATAGTTGCAACCCATAAGACCCTCCTTTATTTAATTCACTTGATCTTATTTTTGAAGTTTAATATAACTTCTTAAGTTAGAAAAAGTAAACCGTTGCAGTTGAAGATTTTTTTTTTTGGCCGGAGCTGAAGTTGAACATCTAGATAGATACCTTAATGCTAATTGGTAATACTGAAAGGATTCTTATCTTTGTTATTCCCAATAGGAGATGTTCTTATCTTCTTTGTAGTACAAATGTTTCCCCGGTCAACACACCTATCACCTAACCTCCTTATGGTGATGCAACTCATGTTAATTACAGGTTTCCATCACCTAATTTCAATTTTGTAGCAAAGTAATCCAGGACAGAATCAGAACAAAGTCCATCTGGATCAGCTTACAACTGAAATTTATTCGAGTTACCTCTCGCTTTCAGTTGCTCAACAAAGTCAACAGCAAAAAGCCTCTGCAATGCATGCACTTCCTAATGTTTAAATAACTAAATACTTATTAGGTGTCATGTTTCTGTGCAACCAAAATTTTCATAAATTTCTGACACCAAGACTTGCATGTTCATGCCATTATGTTTGAGGATGACTTCATTAAAGCTAAACCTAATATCAGTTGTAAATTCAACGCAAGATCATCAGCAAGGAGTATCGCAAGCACTTTCTAATTTATATAACTAAATTATTAGGTATCTATCCATGTTTCTGTTGACAACCAAATTTTCATAAGTCTGACACCTAAGTTGCATTTTCTTATCATCATATTTGATTAAAGCTAACATTGTATCTTAGTAAATGTTTCAATTCCAATAGTTAAGAGCTTTGATCTTTTTGTTACAGATCTTAAGTTCATATTTTGGAATTCTTGGGAGGAGTTTGAAAAAAAAAAAAGAACTTTATATAACTCATTATTTGATGTTGTTATAAAAAAAAAAAGAAAAAGAAAAAAAGAAGCGCTAATATTAACCCTGGGTTTTTAGCATGCTACACTACATTCAAATAATGATAATAATAATAAAAATAAAGCAACCAATGGAATAGAAAGCAGAAAACAACAAAATTTACATTAACGTCAACAACAATAACTCAATAGCCATTATCACTCACCTACTGATTACTAGTTCAGTAAGATAAATGACAGTAACTAAAAACATTCTTTAACGGGTTCCTGCAGAACGTGTTTTCCTCAATCTACCTCGCGTACGCCGGATGGTTTCTTCCATGACAGTGTCTTTCGGAGGAAGATCAACGCTTTCACCACTTTGTGTCGGTGGAACGGGTTCAGTCTGCATTGCTTCTGCTAAAGTTGTGGTAGGTTCACCGGTGCTTTCAGATGCAGCACTTGTTTCGGTCCTCTGGGACGCATCATTTGCATTTTTGTTTGGGTTGTTGTTTGGTACTGTCTCAGGGTTAGGCGGTGTAGGTACCTTTGAAGGTCCTACCTCTTCTGCTACATCATCTGCCACCTCCTCCTGGTGCTGACTAGACGATGTGCTAGATGTGGGAGATGGCGGTTCTTCAGTTTCTGGCTCAGTTTTTGTAGCTGCTTGACCATTTGGAGTACTAGATTTTTGGCGAGCCCTGGGGCCTTGTGGCTGTGTATTCCGAAGTTAAGAGAGAACAATCATCAGAATTGGGTGAGGTGAAGATTGCAGCAAAAATTTATTTAGCTGTGTTGCTTGCTGTTTAAGGGAATAGAGAAAAATATATAACAAACAACAATTCAAAAGAACAGTTTTTACTGCATAGCATGCATGAAAAGGAGGGCAACAAGAAAAGCAATGGGTGTTTGCACTCTCCATTTTAACAAGTACCTGAGCAGGGGGAGGCCTTGGTGTTGCTGTTGACTGTGAAGCAACATACTGCAAAATCTCAAAAATCCTTGTCTGACCATAACTTGCAGCTCTTTGCCAGTACAGAACTGCCATATCTCCAGCTCTAGTCCTTAGTTCCAACAAGTTACGATCAATTTCATTCTCATGCTTCGCAACATAGGGTCTGAAGAAGGAATCATAAACATATGTAGTTCCCTGGAATTAAACAAATAAAATAAAATAAAAAGAAGAAGAAGAGAGAAGAAGAACAAGAAGAAACAATTAGTCTACTAGAAAAACTAATAAAATGCAGGTTTACAGGTAAATGCTACCACATAAGGATTAGAGACAGATCAATAGACATACCCTTGTTTTAGGATACCATAGATATACAAAGAATGCCAACTTCGCTTCACTGTACATTGGAACCCTTCAAGGGAGCAAGAGAGAGAAAACACAATGAAAATTGAGAAACCTAGCATGTTGTTGGATAAAGTAGAATTGCTGTTTTAATATTCCCTACCATGAAATAAAAGCATCGCCTATTCTCTCACAGACTGACAAAACAGCCACCAAAATCCTAGAATCAAGAAGGGGACATTAAAACCCAGTTACAACTAAAAATTAGTTGCATAAACTCAAAACACAAAAATTGCAAAAATATACCAATATTGGCACCAAAAGCGAAGCTGCTCGATGTCGGGCTTATTCATTTCAACTGTTTTATAGCACTCATATGCTGGATAAGCATAACCGAGAACCATCCTGCAAGAATGTTCAACAGTACAATCACTAATCTAAGTTTAAAAGTAGTACTACTCAAAATTAGAAAGAGTACGGATTCTTAGGCAACTTACACAAGACCTCTGGTAAGAAAGGATCCAATCATGTTGATTGTATTTACCTAAAATGCACAAAAAAATAAAAATAAAAAAAATCACATGTTAGTATGTTACAATCAAGTAATAACTGAAACTGGATGAAAATTGGCCATTGGATATAAGGAAAACATAATAGCTCATTGTCAAGTTGAGCAAGTATTGCTAGAAAAGAATGTCTAATCCTTTTATCAACATAATTAGCACCAATAACAATGTCAAACCAAATCAAAATCCGATACAGAGGCGCTATCTCTCTATTACCCTCCAGCCTCCAGCTTCAATCCCCTATGTTTATCTACACTTTAGAACGAATTAGCGAGCCCTACTGCCATCTCCTTGAGCATTAAAGATGTAACCGCAGAAGCAGTAGATCTAGACTCGAACAATAAGCTTATATTACAAGTAACAACAACCTTCCTTCAAATCCGATATGATCGGCAATAGAGCCTCTCATTTTGCCGATTTCCTAAGAAACGCTACAGAAACTAATACTGCAAATAGAAATAGGTAGTCTGTCCCCAACCAAAGAGAAATCCAGCTGTTTAGGTGAAGTTAACCACTCATTTGATCATGAAAACTCACAAATCAACAGAAATTCAACTCTAAGCAAAACGAGGAAGGAATAAAATGAAAAGGACAGCACAAAATGCACAATACCTGCTACAATTTGAAAACAGGATTTTCAGACACTGGGAAGTGAAAACAACAGAAAACCTGGAGGAGATTCATCTTCTCCCTTCATTTTTACCTCAGTTCCTCTTAGAAGAAAAAAACATTCCAGGAAACACACGATTTTGAACAAAATAACCCCGAGTAAAATGTTACGAACCACCGAATCGCCGGAAAATTTTTGGATGCTACCAGTGACCGCCGATGAATCAATTAATCATCGGAAAAAGAAGATAAAACGAACAAGAGAACTGGAAGTCGTACCTTGATCGGCACCGCCAAAACCCCGGCGAACCGTTACGAGGTCGGCTCTGTGCGAGATACTGTGATAGAGAGAGATAGAGAGTAGCAGTCCTTTTATCGTTCCTTTTCAAATTCCCTTCCTCCGGACTTGTTTTGTGGGCTTTAATCACACGTTATATTTGTAAACCCGCTTTGGGTTCCGTAATTTAAGGGGTAAAATTCATTTGCGATAAGGAACACGAGTGTGCTCTGATCATCGTGAATAGTTACCGTCTGATCTATAACTGACGGCTCACGTATTTCGGTCTCCCTGTAGGCTACTCGCTGTATTGTATCACTCCCTGGGTTAGAATTTGAACATTTATATAATTTTATTGCGTGTGCCCGGTCAATTTACGGTTTCACCCTTGAAGGAAAGAATATTAGATATTTAATTAGTGGTAATATGGTAAAAGTACAGGACATCCGATCGTTTGTGGATAACAAGCAAGGACTTCAAATTTTAATAAAATTGCAAGAGTGGGGTCTCTGGAGTTTTGAAATAGTAATTGGAGCCTTGATTTTCGAAACCCTGTTAGACATTCGTCCTAACGTCTTTTTATCTTTTGGAATAGAGTCCCACTCTATCTTTACCTAAAAGCCCCCCCACCTTCGCTTTTTCTTCACACTCACTTTTAACTTTTTAGCCCCTTTTCTCTCACATTAAAATACATGGCGTCCCAGAAGAATCTTGTGTATGTATATAAATATGCATGTATATATCTTCTGGTCGTAAGATAATTTAAAATATTTCTATTAACTTGGTGATTCTTTTCAGTGACGATTCCCTTACTTCAGCAGTCCATTTCACAGAGTCCAGTCGAGCTG